ACATGACCCCACCTTGATAGCATAGCCCTAAATGTGAATGGGAGTGGAGGGATGGGAGGGGAGTGTGGTCAGGGTGCATGTGAGGAGGGAGAAAGGGTAAAAGGTAGGGAAGGCGTGAGAGAGAGAAAGAGGGAGAGAGGGAGGGAGAGGGAACTTGGATTGACATGTAAAAATAATAATAATTAAAAAAAGATAATAAGGAAATGTATGTGAGTAATTAGTCACCTATTAACAATCAAACTTGAAGTCACATTAGGTATGTTTTCAAGGTCAAACAGAGGTATGTTTTGGAAAGACAAGTTATTTTCAAACATTTCAGAGACCTACAGAATATGCCATTTAAAATATTTTAATAACATAGGTTTTTTTTTAACCAAGCTTTGAAGAATTGGCATTTGATGGTACCTTTGTTTTAAATGTTCCTAGTGACTAATTATGGTGAGCGCTGTTAAGCTGTTTATGGAATATTAGCAACTTTCTTTGTAGACATGTATGCACAATCCATGGCTCTTTTCATTAGCAGGTTGTCATTGTTTGGTTTGACAATTCTTTATATTCTGTGATTTTAAAATATTTTCTTCTGTTCAGTGCAATAGCAGCTACTTTCTAATTGCTGTGACAAAATACATGGTAATGACACCTTAAAGAAAAGGAGGTTTATATTTGGCTCACAGACCAAGGTAAAGAGTGTCAGGAATCGAGGGGGCAGAGTGATATGTAGCTTGTCACCCTGTGTCCACTCAGGAATGAGAGAGGACTGCTGCTTCTCAGCTTAACTTCTCCTTTTTATTCAGTCAGGAAAGGTAACCTATGGAATAGTGCACCCTAGAGCCAGGCTCTATTAACTCACTCTAGAAACTCTTGGACAGCATGACTAGGAAGTGGATCACAGATGATTACAAACCAGCTTATATTGATAGTATTAACCCTCATAAATAGACAGTTTTTCCCCTTGCTGAGATTCCTCTATTTTTCTATAACTGCCTGTGCTTTTCATATATTGAACAGAAGTTGTCAACACCCCCTGTGGGGCTGTGAAGTTTTTGCAGTGCATTTTCTTGTAAACACTCTTATTTTTAAATCTTGACTCTGTTTATTTGACCCACTTGGAGTAAGGGATATACAGTGTCTGTAAGGATTCAATATAATTTTTTTAATGACTACATTCAGTTACCCTAATTGGAGAAACACCCACCCCCATCAGATGATCTTAGGAAGTTCTTCAAACCCTTTATTTTTAAACCTTTATCTGAGCTCTTGCTTTTGGTCTCTCCATGTTATTCCATTTCTATGATTATCTACCTTTATTGTTATTCCACATTGTTTTGATTATCAGGTTTCTGAAGAGTTTTGCAATTTGGAAATTGGAATAATCAAGATTCCCTGGCATATTCATCTTACGAATATTATTATTAAAAATGTAACTGGGATGTCATAAGGGTAGCACTGACTCTATTGAAATTATTGACACCATAATAGTATGTGTTTTCTGAGCAGTTAAGAAAGGTTAAGGCTATGGTTCTGGATAGTTATATCATACTAATTTCTTTAAGCAGTGTTTTTGTGGTTTACTTCTACAAATTTTTCAGCTTTGTGGTTAATTCATCAGTATTTAGTTTTTGTTTGCAGGGTGGGAATGTGCATATTCTAGTGGATATGAATGTACGAGTATGTGCAGGCACACAGATGTGCAAGGGCAAGGGCACCTGTATTGTTTGACTGTGAAACCAAGCTGTCAACCAAGGTAGGTCTAAGCAATAAACAAAGGATGTTTTTATATATTTACACATAAACTTCTTTTAGTAATGTTATAAAATTTTTATTGTACAAGTATTTTAGGTCTTTGATTATGAATAGTACAGTAATTCTTCTGAATTTATTCTTTGGCATTCTTGTATGTAGAATTATTAATTTTAATTGTTAGTAAATAGAAATGAAAATTAATGTACTGGGGATGCAGCTCAGTGGTAAGGTACTGACTAGTGGAAATGAAGCCTTGAGGTTGACTAATAAGCATTTGAAGAATTTGGAAGAAGACTTCACTGAGATAATAGAAGAGGTTAAATGAAGTTTTATACAAATGGAATGAAAAAGATACTCTCTTTGTACAGCATTAATAACAAATAATTTTATTACACTTCACAAATGTATTCATCTGGACTGAACATTGCCTTCCTTCCCTTAATAGACATAAATGAATATTCCTCCTTAGGTGTGGTGAACAGGAAGTCTCTGCCTAGGATAAGCCCAGATTGCTCTACAATTTTACATTGTCTCTATAGATTTGCTTCCATGAGATCCATTTTGCATTATAAAAGTTGATCGCATACATGTGTGCCTGTATCTTTGTTTAAGGTTGTTCTCTGTTCATATAAATAACTTCCAATCATAGATTTCTAACATTTAATTGAGAAAATCAAGCTATGGATGTATATAGGTGTGTGTATATAGATATTATAATGGTTATATAAAAGCATGGAATATAGAAAGTTTTGATGAAATGGGCAGTTTATAATGGTAACCTGCTTATGTACTCCCCTTACTTTTTTGTGATAGGCAGATTTTACTCCAAGGAATAACACATATTATGTGAGTGAGCACTCATCAATAACAGTTTTTCCTCAGTTTTTTTCTTATGTAGTTTGCTAAGTTACTCATGCTGGCCTTGACCTACTGAGTCCTTTCCCTATTAAGCATGGATTCACATACCTTTTTTATGCTTGTTTTACATGTCAATCCCAGTTCCCTCACCCTCTCCTCCTCCCCTGTCCCTCCACCAACCCCCATCCCACCGCCTTTTTGTTCCCCAGGGAAAGTGAAGGCTTCCCTGGGAAATTTTCAAAGTCTGTCATATCATTTGGAGCAGGGCGTAAGCCCTCCCCAACTCATCTAGGTGAGAGAGTATCCTTCTATGTGGAATGGGCTCCCAAAGACCATTCATATGCCTTTTGATGATCATTCTATCCAACAACCTTTTATCCTATGTTGAAACAACTTTCAGGCCTCCTTTACAGGTGCATGCACCTATATGAAACCTCAATATCTCCATATTGCCCAAATAAGGACAAAGAAAAGAAGGAAAGTGCACAATTTGTCTTAGAAAGGTATGTGTTTCATCTTGACCTGTCCTATTACATCTCACTGCAACAAACTCTGGCAAATGTGAGTTCTGCAGAAGTGTACACAGTCATGTCTGCCAGATGTTATAGGCATTTGGACCATAAATTTGTTTTACTATTGTTCATAATGTTAAACCTATATATGAAATGTGATCATTCCCCTTAGATAGGGAGAGATTTGTTTTTAAAAATGCACAGGACTCCACTGTCCTCCCACACAGTGGAGGGGCTTTATCTAAAAAGAAATGTTATATCACCATTATTGCAGTATTTTATGTTTCAGGTGAATAGATTAAAATGACTTCTGACAATGAACACTTCATCTGATCTTGTTGACTTACAGAAGAGAAAAAGCCAGTTCTTCATGGGATATGTAGAAATACCATTTGCCCTTGATAATGTTATTGTGGCAGCACATTCCATTTTGGTGGTGTTTTACTCATTTAACAGAAAATTCCCTGTTGGTAATCCTAAATGAAAGTTAACCACAATGGAATGATTTTTCTGGTTTCTAGATCTTCCTTTAGGTTGACTTTTTCTTTATTGTCAATTATTTTGAGTTTTGTTTTTTAACCTATTCCCATCACTGAGAGATGTTTCAGTCCTCACACTATTTCTATCTAGTTCCAGAAAAGATAAAATAAGACATAGAAAGAGGTTTCCACTGCCTACATTCACTGTCTAAAACTTTCTTCCTAATTAGTGTGCTCTTTATTCCTTGACCTTCCTTCCTCATGCTACTTGAACCCAACAAACACAGCCTGTCTTGATTTCCCAATAAAACAATCTTCATTACTCAAAACACTACTAATGTACAGTCATTGTGAGTATGAAAAATAATGCGATATTAATACAGCAAGGAAATAGATACACTGCTATACAATAGAAAGTTAAGATTCAGACAGTAATATGATTTTCAGACACCACCGTGATTCTTTGCAATGAAAGACTCCTATTTATTCACTGTATGTCTTCTTGTCTCCCCACTTAACAACTTTTGTTGGCCCTGTTTCGGTCACATATTTTTTATTTACTTACTAAGACAAAAAAAAACATACATATTATTCTATTTTTGATTTTGTAGATTAACTCTACTTCTTACTGCAAATAAACCAAAAACAATTCAAAATAAAGTAACCACTGAAAAACTAGACACATGTGTACCCCCCCAGACAAACAATAAAGTTTCAAATTCAAAATATACTCTTTATGTTAATATTTTGTAAATAATAACAGTAAAAATATGCAAAATCTATGTGAACTAATAGTATGCTTGAAACCTGGAACCATTAGTTATTTCTACACTTTTAATTAAGCTATTGATTACCAATAAATCATATTTGTCACATTGACAGCTGAAAAAGATATGTTGTTAGGTTGCTTTCCAATGGAAGATGTGTAGAAAAGAACAGAATCAAATGTTTGAATTACACATTCAAAGACAAACATTCAAAATGAGAAACCTACATACAGTAGATAACAGCATCCTAATGTTACTTCATTTGTCATTTTGAAGATCTACTTTTGTTTATAAGAGGCAAAAAATAAATTTGTAATAAATGGACATAATAGGCAAGCCCTTTTAGTAACATTATTTTTTAAATAAATAGAATAGAAAATGTTGAAAGTGACAAAAACAATGAAAATATTAAAAAATATCTAGAGGACTAAAATTTCTTTTTGTGATTAAAAAGGGAGCATATTAGTTTTTATAATTTAGACAAGGGTCTCTGCCTATGAAAATTTAAAAAAAGACCATAAAAATAAAAAATTAGAATGTTTTCTAGAAAAAAAGAAGTAAATTCTTTTGCCGAAGATTTTCCATAAATAGAAACTATTTTGTGCCCAAATTAGGAATCACATATAATTAACCACATATAATCAAAAGTTCCTATTGCTCAGGCTTTTCATCAGGGCAACTTTAATATCTTTGTTCCTCAAGCTATAGATCAAGGGATTCAACATGGGAACCACATTGGTGTAAAAGATAGAAGAGATTTTTCCTTCATTCAGAGACCCAACTGAGGAGGGTTTGAAATACACAAGTGCACCTGAACCAAAGGACAGAGAAACAGCAATGATGTGGGAGCTACAGGTGCTGAAGGCTTTGGAACTGCCCTCAGAGGAACTAATGTGAAAGATGCTGGAAAGGATGAAACCATAGGAGACAAAGATAGTTGGAGTAGGGACAATGATGTTGATGCTCGCAAAAACAAAAATTACAAGCTTGTTGACATAAGTGCTTGTGCAGGAGAGCTGGAGCAAAGGAGAAGTAGTGGTTGATAATGTTGGCATCACAGAAGGTCAGTCTCAGCATGCATACATTGTGAGCCACAGCATTACAAAATGCAATAAAGTAGGAACTAAGCATAAGGCTCAAGCATAATTTAGGAGAAATGACAACATTATACAACAGTGGATTACAGATTGCCATGTAGCGATCATAGGCCATTGAAGTCAACACATAACACTCAGAAACAGCAAAGAAGCAAAAGAAATAAACTTGGATCATACATTCCACGTAAGAAATGATGTTCTTCCTTAATAGAAAGTTCATCAGCATTTGGGGGGTGAACACAGAACAATAGCAAAAGTCTATAAAGGACAAGTTAAAGAGAAAAAAGTACATAGGAGTGTGGAGGTTAGAATTCAGCACAATTAGAATGATCAAACACAAATTTCCCAATGCAGTGAATAGATACATTGCTAGAACCAGAAAAAACAGGGGTATTTGGAGTTCAGGCTGGTCTGTTAATCCTACCAGAATGAATTCAGTCACCATAGAGATATTTACCAAGTCCATTCTTCTCTAAGGGATTCTGTGAACACAGAAAATAGAGAGCTGCATTACAGGATGATCAACACAAGTCAAGGTTTCTTCCCTTCTGTGATGTGTATGTTGGGAATTTTTCTTGTAGCCTGTACTAACCATGTAGAATCCACAAACTATCATAACTCAGAAAGCAATTGACATTGAATTTCATTAAGATTTCTGAAAAAATATCACAAGATAAACAATACACTAAGAAGAATTCAATCTTCTCCCATCTCTTGTTTTCCTTCTCTTGAGCTATCCCCAAACAATAAAATTGGAAGCAGATGCCTAGGCAGTACAGTGCTTGTTGCTTCTGCAGATTCACCTGTGCTGTGGTATGAATAAAAAAATGCATGCCTGATCAAAACTAAAAGAAAAAGAGAGAAGCATGGAGGAAATATCTCCCCCCCCCCCATGTCACAGAGTCATGAATCAGGTTAGAGTTCTGACCATGCAGGAGAACTCCAGTGATGATGTTGCAACTCCAGTAGCCAGCACCTCCTAACACTCTCTTATGTCTCTGAATGTTTTCTACTGTTGAATTCACTTGGGCCTCATTTTGCCCAGCGAATGGAAGAAACTTGCTGAAGTCCATCATATTTTGATATATTGAGAGACATAAAGGGTGAGGGTTTGAATGGAGGGCAAGTGTGGAAAACCTCAGTGAAGCTTGTGGGACAGGTAACTGATACTAGAATATATCATATAAAAATATCTTCAATAAAATGAAAATATGTGAATATTAATCAAAAAAGAGAAGATAGAAGAAAGAAGGTGGGCTATTAATATACCTGGAATTCAGAACTCATAATTGTCAGTTCAAACCTTAGAGCAATCTTATTTTTCCCCTTATCTGTTTACCTGGTTAAGTATTTCAGACACAATGGTGTCAGATCTTTCAATTCAAAGAAGATACACACACAAGACTTAATTTTCTTGGACCAATGTCTGAATTGTAGAACATTATTTTTGATTAAGGTGCTGGGTCTTTTCTGGAAGCAGAGAAAGGCACCTTAACTGCAGATGTATGTGATTATAAGCCAGGCAGAAGAATGTTCAGGCTCTTGCTCAGAGGAAAGCATTTATAATGAAGAAAGAGCTGAGGAAAACGTATTACACCCTGGATCACAATCCTTATTTCCTGAGGGACCCACTATTATACTCATCCTTTCCATTCACTCTAGAGAATGTATAACCCCCAGTACAAATTGAGAGATAGACTCCTGCCTCCCAGGTATCTTTAGATCTAAAGTAAAATCTGAATTTGGGGTTCTTTCTCTCTTGCTTCCTGCAGTTAAATGGGAATTGCCCACAGGTCTTGACTAAATTCTGTGTGAAAGTTGTGGAGTGTTGTCTTGAGTCATTTCCAGTACTGAACTTACAGAAACATCACACATGCTATTTAAAAAATATATTCTTGAACAAAGAAGGTACCAGGAGACATGTTAACTTAGAAGGTAGAAAACTCAAGGGGTCTCCACCCCTGACAAACAACTGAAGATAATTAAAGGGTATTGGAAGTGCTACAATTGGTCTTTGTTAGCAATGAAAAATACTACAGAGGTCAGCCATGAACTCATAAAAGTAAGTGAATGATTACATGCACTGAGAGGTTGTATTTACATATTTATCGATATATATGAATAATATATAACAACGATTAAGGAAATAGAAACCCTGAATTATAGAGAGATCAAGGGGGTGTGCATGGGAAGGGTTATATGCTGGAAAGGAAAATAAAAAATATTATCTAATTGTATTTTAAGTTTTAAAATATTAAATAAACAAATACTCTAAAAATTTTGATAAAGTAGAATAAAATATAAATGAATCATTTTCATGTTTCCTTTCCTTACTCCAAGCATTCCCCTGTTCACCAACTAACTCCCTCAAATTAACTAAATTGATAACCTCTTTTTTATTTTCATTGCTACGTATATGTAAAAATGTGTAAATCAGCCTAGTCTCAGAAAGAGAAATACCATTTTTCCTCCTGGTTGTTAATAGGTTTTATGCACATGCATGAAATTTTAGATGTACATATGATATGAATGTAGGAGAACAAAGAGGGCTTATAAATACTGGGGTGTAGATATTAAGAATGAGATGTGAACAGGTATGGTAGAAATATGATCAATGAGTTAATGATTTTATATGAAAATATTCTTATGTCACATTATTATTATTTACAATAAATATACAATGCCAATTTGAAGGTTAATAATCTGATCTTAAATTACATATTAAACAGCATTACATTTAATATTCATACATAAAACTTCAAGAACTTTTGTCTAATATAAAATATTTAAGATATTCAAAAATAAGCCTTTCCATATTTGAAAAAAATAAAAGAATTACAACATGTTTGTGTGTTCTATCAGGAAGTCTGCAAACAAACTTTTTATACTTGGAAACAAATACAAACAGGATGTATTAGAGATTTACATATCTCACATCATACAATAAAAAATATTAATCAGGATACTCAAGTGTTTGTACATTGTAAACTGAAGGGCTTTTGTCTCTACAGAATTAATAAAACCATGATAGTTAAACTCTCCCTTTCTAATGAGAGGTAAATGATACACAAAAATGATGAAACTGATTGACAGATAGCTTGTCTGTTTCATTAATCATTCTAGAATTTCAGATTTCTTTGAGGAACTTTTATTTATTTTTTGAATAAAGCTGGCTCACTGGCTATTGGCTGGACTGCTTGGCTTCCATTAATCAAACAGAGAATGAATTGAAATCAAAAGATAATATTAAATATATGTTGGACTTCATTCATTATAAAGAGTATCTAAATGCATTCCAATTGGCATACACATTTGGATAAAGCATTTTAAATAAAACCTAAACCATTTGTGGAATACTGAGGTATTCTCAGAAAATTCTATACTTTAAAAGAACTGTTTTCAAAAGGTGTACTTGCTTGTCCAATTTATAACTGTACTCCAGTGAATGCTGCTGTGATGAGAACATACATCACTAACCACCAAATGTATGTTCTCTATACTCACTTGAATTCTTGCATGAAATTCTTGTAGGGTTGCAAATATTATAGCTTTTCCAGACAGAAAATATAATAATTTCTGCCAAATTGATATGCTGCGTAGGTCCTTTACTAGCTTACTGGGTAAAACAAAATGAAGTTGACCAAATCAAGACACCACCATCTTAAACTTGAAATCACAGAAGCCTATGGATTATTTGGGCTAACTGCAGTCCCAGACATTTTGTTCAATACACATAAACAGAAACATTTATTGGTAGCCAAATACAGAAATAGGTAGACAGATAAATAGATATGAAGGTATAATTATATCAGTTTATTAACATCTGGTAACCATCAAACTTAATATTGACTTTTTCTGTGGCGTCAATGTACACATCCTTTCCAGTATAGATAAGCCAGTATCTGAACCTCTTAAGACTTGCCAGTATTTGTGGGTTTCCTGTCCTATGTAAGAAAGATCAGGTAGACCTTCAGCATGCTCAGTCAGCACCTCCCACCATTCTCAGTGTCTATCCTATTAAAAAAATTAAAAAGTTATAAGATTTTCCTTGGTTTCATTGTCTTCTACAGTATTTTGAGAAAGAATGTGACATTAGAGCATTGTTTTCTTTACTTTTTTTTTGTTTGCTTCTAAGAAATACATACTCAGGTATTCTCTGTATAAGCTATGAAGTTTCATTAACTCAAAAGTTTCACAAGAATCAGCTTTCATTAGCACTTTATTCACATTGACAAATCTTCATAAAAACAATCTGTAGTGTGGCCAGATGAAGTTACAAAGACAACTTTGCCATTTCCACAAATTCCCATTCTATGTTACATTAGTAGTATTTAAAATCATGTTAATAAAATATTTGGCTGGCTATTTTCCCTCATTTTTGTTAAGAACATGAGTATATATTTTTGTCAAATATTGGAAAATAGTTCTTCAAATGATCAAGTAATTCCACACTAGAGTTACATTTTCCATTGTTTATGAAGTTTCTTACTTTGCAGTGGTAATGCGTCTTTGAAAGTGTAATTTAAAACATCCAGTATGTTCTGTAACACTCTCCTAGAGTGCAGTATATTTCCATTAATTACAAAACTAACAAATATGTCACGGTTCTTAAAACTATAAAAAATATCTCACTTTTCACCTGCAAGCAATGTATTATGTTTCTGTTGTACAGGTTTTGCATGTCTAGAGGTGACTATACTAGCATGTATTGCACTGTTGCCACCTGTTTACAGTATGTGCAGGATACTGATGTGATGACAAAATTAAGATACTGAATGAGAAATGAAGAAACTAAGTGATATAAAGCCATCCCATGGTCATAGATTTGTAGTTTTAAAATTCTAAGAGTGGTCATCAAAATTAGTCTACAGATTCATTAATGGATCAGTGAATAAATAAATCACTTATTGCACAAGTGTTAGATCCTGAGTTCATGTCACCAGAATCCATATAAAGCTGGATATGCTAGCAAAATTCTGTTATCTCAATTTTCCTAAGGTGAGAGTGTAGGAGAGGAGCAGAAAGACAAGGTGAAGCCAGGAGAGAACAGAAGAGAAATTTGGGAATTTAATGGGCCCTTTGCCTGAGAAAATTATCAGTGAACAAGAAGCAGCCCTATTCCAAAACAAGAAGGAAATGGAAGAGTGACACCCCTATGATTTCAATGGGTATTTACACACACACACACACACACACACATACACACACACACACAGAGTTTGCCATTTTTAATCTCACACACACCACAAACAAGTAAATTGTTTAAAAATAAATGTTTTTTAAATTATCAGTAATTACATTGCAATGCATTTCATGTGCTTTATACACCTATATAATTGGTTGTGCAAAAAATGTTTTCAATCAAAATGGTATTGAGAAGGAAAAAGTTAAAGAATTCCCAAACTAGTTCATGGTTGGGTGAGTGGGTCTATAATAATGTAGTTCATATATGCTGGTTAGTTTTGCCAACTTGACACAAACTGAGACACCTGGGAAGAGAGAACCTCAATTGAGGGATTCCTTCCATCAGATTGGCTTGAGAACTTGAGTTTGGGGACAATTTCTTGGGACATGATTTATATTGAGAGGGTCCAATTTGTAAGGAGTAATATTCCTGGGCAGGTGTAAGCAGAGCAAGCCTTACAAAGCAAGCCACTGAGAATAGTCCCCTTATTTTCTCTGCCTCATTTTCACTTCCCTGTTCTTGTCTCACTTCCTCATTGATGGACTCTAACCTGCAAGGCAAAGAAACCACTGTATGCTCCAATCCACTATTGGTCAGGGTTTTTATCCCTGAAGCAGAGAAACGCCCTTTGATTGCTTAATACCAGGAGACAGTTCCCTTGTGTATTTCCATTCATTAATTTTATTCTCATGATGAATAATAAAACAGAATTTTTACTTCATCATTATATCATACAAACACATTTTAGCACATCATGCTGAATCTTAGACTTTTTGTCTGGTAAAATTTTTGGCCTGTTTCATAAATTGGAAAAAGAGAATTAAATTAAAAACACATTTCCTAAGAAGAAAAAGTAGAATACAGAGCTGTCAATCAAATGTGTTAACTGAATGGACATTGTACTTGCATTCAAACTTACAGGAATGAAAACACATGTATCCAGTCAAACCATCCACATTGTCAATATTTTCTCAGGAGAACTTCAACATCCACAGCTTTTGAGTATACTCCCATTAAGGTGGGTCATTGTATCACTTGGTAGTGTACTCAGAATTTATATTCTTGATTTACTCTAATAAAAATTCATTTTTTTTATTTTGTGTATGTGCTTTGTGTTTCTGTCATAATTCTATGATGAAGGTACCAAAGCTGAAAATGTCCTGAGTGACAAACAACAGCCAGGTACTGTGCTGGTTATTTCTGGTTACAGTGATAAAATGCCTGACAAAAGCAAGTTGAGTGATGACTTACTTGGTTTCATGTTTTCAAAGTATAACTTATCATGTTAGGGAAGTTATGTCAGTAAGAACATGAGGTAGCTGCTAACATCCAACCTATGACTAAGAAGCAGGGATATGAATTCCACTGTCCACTAGGGGTTCTTTGCCCATTTCAAGGATAATATCTTTTTTTAAACTTCCTTTGTATTTGTTATTTGTATCTTCACATCATGTCTCTTGATCCCACCCAATGCCCCCATCAGAATAAAAACAAAGTAAAATTTAAAGAAAATACAAGGGTGGAAGGAAAATCTTGTCATGGAAGCTGCTGTGACTGTGAGTACATTTTATTTTTACAAGGGATCATTACTCTGGTTTGAGACCTCTATATCTGCCACACTGTCAATGCTGTGCCCTCACTGGGACTCTTACTGAACATGCTGTTGTTGACCTGTGTCCTGAAGTTAAGGCTGTAACTTTAGTCACCCCTGGAGCCAGTCTTTTCCACAAGGCCTTTGAACACTTGCCACAAACTGCAGACAAAGGAAGGATCAGAAGAGGGTGAAACATTGAACCTTCCCATATCCTCCTTACTTTTTCTGTGCATACTTAGAGAGACACTCTATCTACTGTCTCTACTCTAGGTAAAGTATAGACCCATTTTCATATAGTCTTTTGTATACTTCTGATTGTGTCTTGATGGAAGAAGCCTGCAACCCTGAACTTGGACTTTATCTCAGAGCAATCAGTGGCAGTTCTTACATGGCTACTCTACTCCTCTCCTCCTCAGGTTCCCTTGGCTGAAGGACACATGTTTGACCAGGATGTGGAACTCCTGATTTACTACAGTGAATTGCACAAGCCCAGTGTAGCTGTGGAGATGGGGATGCAGAACATGAAGCCAGGTATTTTCGATCTCTCACTATGGCCCCTTTCTAAGATGTAACTCTCAATTAGTTCTGATTTTCAATTTTCTATCCATGATTAGTGTATGACCATTGAAATACTGACTTTTCACTTCTACATGGAAAACTGACAGGTAGCTGATGGAAACAGAAGCAGACACCCACAGCTAAACACTGAACCAAACTGGAATTCAAATGCAGAGGGGGGGGGACACAAGACCAGGTTACAGAAACCCACAGAGACAGCTGACCTGAACAAGGAGGAGCTAATGGGCCCTCAGACTGACAGCTGGGAAACCAGCACTGGACTGACTCAGACCCTCTGAACATGGGTCTCAGTTAGAAGGCCTGGGCTGTATAAAGGACCTCTGACAGTGGAACAGGATGTATCCATGGTGCACAAAAGGACTTTGGGAGAACATTCCCCATAGAGGGATACTCCTTTAACCTAGAGGCAGGAGAGAGAGCCTAGTCCCTACTACAAATGCCTTCTCCTGGAAGGTACCATCCTCCCTGTGGAGTGGGGGTGAGGAATGGGATAGGAGGGTGGTCGGGGGGGGGCATGGGAGGGAGGGAGAGAGAGAAGGAGGGAGAAGGAACTGAAATCCATAAGTAAAATAAGAAAAAATATAGGTAATCAGGTGACTATGTCCTACAGTCTAATTTAAAATAGATTAGAACATAATTAGAAGGAAAGTATGACCAAATAATTCACAAGAAAACATATGGCCCATTATCAACATATGACAATGACTGGTCTTACAAAAATGACAAATGAAAGTAATTCAGTGATGACTTCTCCTTACAGAGGATCAGAGATGTCCAGATCTAATAAAGTTGCATCCTTCACATGGTATAGTGACTTTACACAATCAGAAGTGTTGAAGCAAATCAGTTTATATCAACTGTTTTGAAAGACTTTGGGCTGCATATAGTAAATATTCATTTTGACTATACTGATATTTATAACATTTCTTCTGAAGTAAATCTAAAAGTCTATATAGTATGCAGATGACATTGACTGATATTATAATGGTATCAAATATTATTAAGTGATGAAAAATGTAATATAGTCACTATTTGTGACATCAGTTACATGTTATGATGTCATTATTATAATTATGTACTTTAACAAACTGGTGAATTTAGATATAGTCTCTAAATAACAGAAAAAGAAAAATAGTTATAATTCCTAATAGCAATATAAAATAATAGTTGCATTAGGAAAACAACAGTATTATAATATAGGCAATGAGAAAATAGTTTTTCTATATGATTAATAATTTCACTTTAAGTAAATAGGTTTTATTGATTAATTCATCACAACTGGATATAATCTTGCTGCAAGTTCTTACTTTTTTGTCTTATGACGAATAGTGGCCAAATTTAACAGAAAATTAGTTTCTGATTTCTGTGTCCTGTAGAAATTGACCTTTGAAACAATCACAAGAATCCAGCTCACATTCTTTGCATCACACTTGATTTTTTCTTAGACTATACTTAGCTTTCCATTGAGTTGTGTGTCTTGTTTGTTTTTCTTTCTAAAATAAAAAGAAGGGTTTTAATCTTAACATAGCAAAAATATTTAACAAAACAGTTATCAAATAAGAATGATAGTTAATATTTAGTTCATTAACATTTAGCAAGATTTAAAGAAAATATGACGATATTTTTTTATTCTACCAACTTTTTTTATTATTTTTCATGTCGATCCCAGTTCCCTCTCTGTCCCTCCCTCTTATCCTCTCTCCCCTCTCACATGCACCCTGACCACCCTCTCCTCCCATTCCCCCACCCCCATTCCACATGTAGGGCTATGCTATCCAGGTGGGGTTGTGTAAACCTGTCAAGTCATTTGAAGTAGGGACTAGGTCCCATTAGCTCCTCCTTTTTCAGGTCAGCTGTCTTTATGTGTTTCTGCAACCTGGTCTTGTCCTCTCTCTGCATCTGGATTCTAGTTTGACTCAGTGTTTAATTATGGGTGTTTGCTTCTGTTTCCAACAGGTAGTAGATGAGTTGTGTTTCTTATCTACATCTAGTCATTGCCATTTAAAACATATCCTTCTATGCATACTCTACTCTTCTTTTTTAAAGCTGGTACAGCTCACATGAGTGTTTTGCTTTCATTGGCTTTTCTGGCCATTCTGCACTTGGTTGTAAGGGTCATTCACCCAACTCAAGAAGGGCGCTAGAACTATTCATTTCCAGGTTGGATATAAGTTTCTTGCTGGTCAATTGTATTCACAGTGTGACATCTGGGCTTGGGCTTTGCTGCTACAACTGTAAGCACTGTGAGGACTTTACCATGAAGCTGGGTTTCCATACTTAATTGACACCAATATAACATAATCAATATTTGACAAAGGTTTTCATACTGAACCTCATGTTGGGGCTTTTTCTTCTTGCCTCACTATTTGCCACTCCCCTCTGAGGCTACTAAGCAGAATCCCAGCTTTCCCAGTTTTCTGGTAACTTTTTCATCTCTCTGTATTTGTTGTTGATATCTTCAACTTCTTTTTGGGTGTCATAAATTATTATTATTCAAACTCATACTTGTTCTTCAGTCAGGAATACTTTTTATCCATGATGTAGGACCTTAAGATGTTGCAACTTAATACGTAATAACTTAAGTTCCAGTTTCTCGCTTTCAGTGACATTTCCTTGGGTGCATGAAGATTTCTTATCTCTTTTCTGTGATCAGATTTGCAGGCTATCAGGGGACATAGTTGGTCATGTCTCAATCTTGGTAATTCCTTCCATCTTTGATCCCTAGTTCCTGCTTCCTAGGGCACATATTTTGCCAGATAAGTTCCTTTTCACATATCCTTCAGAAGCACAAGGAGCTTAAAGGGCAACTTATCTCACTGAAATCCTTTATTGTGATCATGATGCACAGAAATGCTATGAAATAAATGATGTGTTAATTTTAGATTGTACAATTACAAAAAAATTTAAAAGAATAATATATAAAATTATAATTAACAGCTCAGTGTAAGTTAAGCCTTACCCTGAATTCAGTAAGCACATTTAATAGCACCTAACCTTACAATAATCCTATAGTAGGAATTACTACCATGATAATGTGAGAAGAGGAAGCTGAGGGTAAGAAGTAAAGGTGCACATTTATGAACAAGGAAGCTCTGATTTATGAAAGTAAAGTCACTTGAATTGGTTTGAAATAACTAGTAGACACCATACATGGAGTGCTGACCACTATCTACAAGTCCTTGTTCTGAACTGTGTAGACATCCATTACCACCAATTTCATGGGCTTCTCAGAAGAGTTCTAGTGTCATGATAACCACCTGTCTTCCAGGGTGGGAAGAAATCTACCTTACATATTAAAAGAAATGCTACTTTTATATAAGCTGTATATATAAAGATTGAGATCTGGTTCATATTTATGTTTTCACCCAGTTTTCTAAGGCAACATTTTTGAGTAGCCTGCTCTTGGAATTTGTCATTTTAAGCATTAAATATGTGAGCATTACTTTCCCCCAAGGGTCCAATTGAAGATGTAATCAGTGACCCATGTGATCACTTTCTAATTCATAAGATTTGAAGAGATTTACCTCTGATAAGAATTTTCCTGTATCTTTATATCATGTCCTATTCTGTTTAGGTGCCTAGATTTTGCACACACAGATACTCCTGTGTTATTGTCTGTAAACTCCTACCCTATTTACCTTCCTCTCCCCTCTGTTCTGCTTCTCTTTTATGCTGGCAATTCATATTTACTCCAGTGCACACAGTAGAAAAACTGAAAAGGAGGGGTTTTATATTTGAGCTTTTCAGTTCTTTATTTAAGTGATAATTAGGTCTTGGGGACTCCGGGGCACCTGAGTTTCCTTGTATGTTCAAGGGTCTTCTTCTTTCTGTACAGATAGTTTGATGGGTGCTCCTTCTGTAATGGTGAGTTTCTATCCAGATATCCCAGAAGTGGAGGCCTCAAAGGCTTGTGGAGAATTTGTGTTCCTCATGGACCGCTCTGGGAGTATGGATTAACCCATGAACGACCAGAAGGATTCTCAGCTATGCATAGAGGCTGCCAAGGTAAAGGAGATTCTTCAATCTTCAGCAGTGCCAGGTAAGGATGATTGGGAAGGGCAAGAATAGGATCAGTTTTAGCTGAGGGTCTGTTCTCCATCTGATTAATAACAAGTATGGCCACTCTGATCTCAGCCTTGAAATACAAGGCGGCATGAAATTATATACCATTAGAAATAGACTTGGATTGGTATGTTGTATAGAGCTCTCTCTCACTCCACCTCCTCATTTTCTTTCACCTTCAGGAAACTCTGTTGCTGTTGCTGAAGAGTTTACCTATGGGTTGTTACTTTAACATCTATGGATTTGGATCTTCCTATGAAAAGTTCTTTCTGTAAGTTTTTGGGAAGACCACAGACTGTGAAAGAATGTTTTTTAACGAAGGGCTTCACTTTTAATCTGACTAATGCAGAGTAGTCCTGTGCTTTGGAGTTTTCAGCAGCAATTTTTGTGATAGTCATTTTTGTGATAAGAAATGTGTGCAACTGCCATGTAACTAGCATTGCTTGTTTCCCTAAGGGAGAGTGTGAAGAACACTCAGGAAACAATGGAAGAGGTAGTGAACAGAGTGAAGGATCTAAAAGCAGTCCTAGGGGGTACTGATATCTTGGCAGCACTCCTCAACATTTATAAAGGACCCTCCATTCCTGGCCATCCTTTACAGGTGAGCTTTGGAACCAAGCTAGTAGGGATAAACAGTGAATTTTTCCACTAACCTGATCCCTCAGTTCTCCCACATACAATTGTGTGAATAGTATATAAACTTAAGTCATCTACCACACAGTGAAGAGAAAAAGACCAGAGGTAGGATTTTTCCTCCATTCCATGGGGCAGGCAGTCAGCTCTCTTTTGTAGTACCACGGAAGTTTAAGATGAAAGGTGAATAGGGAGGGTGTGAAACTTCCAGAAGTGAAATTCTTTCCTTTGAAGAGTCTTAGTGCCAGCATGGAACAAGTGAAAGCAGAGCACTATGATCCCCACCCCTTGAGTGAAGAAGATACAAAGACTACAAATAGTTGTGGGTCATGAGGTCCAATGCTGTTGTCTTCTGATGAACTCAACACAATCTCAATGAATGCATATTTTCTCCAGATCTTTGTCTTCATGGATGGAGAAGTTATGGGCACATTTAGTGTCATTAAAGAAGTTAAGTTAAACAGCAAGAAGCATAGGTATGAGGAAAGTATGGTTTCTATTGTTCTGCCTGAACCCCAAGTAGTACCACATATGACTTGTTCCACACAGTATCACAGGATCCCATCATTCTAAAGAGACAAAGTGACTGAAGAATTTTCCAGCTAACCTACTAACACTTTAATTTCTATAAAATAATAGAAAGAAGTTTTCCATTTAACATTGATACTACAAGGTCATTTTTCCTTAATTTTTCAAAGCTCTGAAGTATATATTGAATCATGTCTTCATTATAAAGGTACTGACGGGTTATAATAAAAAGTTACTCAAGTCATTTTTATCTGGGCAGATGAGCTGTCACAGTGTATAGGTCCAGAGCTGTTACCATCAATCATTAGTTTAAACCTAGACCAAATGTAATTTTTGTGGATTATGTGAAATCTTCCTGATTTTGTATCATATTGAATTTCATGGTATATGATTTTCTGTATACCTCACCTTTATTATCTCACCAGTTTGTTTAGATGTATACATAATTTGCATGTGACCATAGTCAAGTTGTGTAAGTATATGATTTTCCATGAAGTAGTTCAGTGTATATTATGTTGATGCTCATAACTATGGACTTTCTTTGGACTCTGTAGTGATTGTATTACATATAACAAGACATCTCCTGGAGATTTTATTTATATGGGAGGATATGCTTAACATAAAGGCACATGTTACCATCCTGAACCCCAACTCCACTCAATGTACTTCAAGTTCAATTTCATCACAGATATTTGGTAATCTTGTTCTGATTATTTTGTTACTGAATTTTAGTGCTTTGGCTGTCAGGATTCACGCACATCATTTATTTAGAGATATTTAGATCAGGATAAACACATTTATGTCTTCAACATTCTTTTTCTTGTACTTTGAAATGGATAATATATAATTAATATCTATATTTAGCAGTATATATGTACATTGTTTATCAGGTATTCATATCTGTACAAAAATTAATTCATCAGCTTTTGTCTTTTTCCTTTAGTCATTGGCTTTGCATAGTGAATATGTGAATTCCAGGAGGTATTTAAAAATACTTCTAGATTTCTGCCCTCCCTCCCACCCTCTCTCTCACACACTCATCTTCTCTCTGCCCTTGCCTACCCCCCCCCATCTTTTTTTCTTTCTTGAAACTCACACCATAAACCAATCTGGCCTCAATTATACTATACAACAGAGACTGGCATTAAAACCACCTTTCAGACTCAACCTCACAGTGCTAAGATTCCAAGCACGCTCCAAAGTCCCAGCTATCCTTTTTGTTAGGCATTATGAGCTATTACTTCTACAAAGCCTAGGACCTAATTCTTCTGAGCCTCTTGTCTGAGCTCTTTCATTCTTCCTTACTTTTACACTTTCTATAATAATCTTTTTAATTTTCTTTGTAGTTGTTTTCCAAGTTCTTACACTTTCCTATCCCTTCTCTCCTGAGTTGCCTGGAAGGGAAACATAAATAATTAGATGGGAAGTGATAATAATAGTCATCATTATGTTTTACTTTATATTAAAATTATATCATTGTGTATATTGCATACTGATTGTTCTCATCCCCACATTCTTTCATCTCATTCCCTCCTCTGTAAACTTCCCATCTCCCTACAAGTCTCTTTATATTTATTCTTAATTAGGCTAAATAATATTTAATACCCTATTATTTTTGGAGCCAAAATAGAATGTGTGTGTGTGTGTGTGTGTGTGTTATGTATTCAATGTGAACTCCTGGAGTGTATATGTGATTAATGAATGACAGTTGAATTTCAACAAATGAACTTTATCACTTGTTTATTTTATCCTTTATCATTTTATATAGAAATTGTGAATATTGCTATATCATAATCTCACCTTACATTTTTGGGGTAACCCATCTCACTACTGATAAACAATCTCTGCCACATATTACAGAATTCAGTTGTCCCTTATGGATTAGGATATTGAATATTTATTAGTGTGGAAGTAATCTGATGAATTTTATCTTTTTTTTTAAATTTATTATTTTACATGTCGATCCCAGTTCCTTCTCCCTCCCTTCCTCCCTCCCTCGCTTTTACCCTCTCTGCCCTCTCACATGCACCCTAAACACCCTCGCCTCCCATTCCCCAATCCTAATTCCATATGTAGGGCCTTGTGAGGTTTTAGTATCTATGTACAGCTTGCATCAAAAATTATGCCCTTTTTCTACTTTATGAAAAATTGTTCTTAATTATTTATTAGAAATGGCCAATGTGGTTTTCAGATGTAATGGACTTAGTAAGTGTTTTTGGACTATTGATATTTAGATGGTATCTTTCCCCTGATAGGCCTACTCTTTTCTTTCAGTGTGTGCCTAGACTAGGAATTGACCGCTTCAACCCATCTAAAGTGTGATAAATTTCATGGCTGGATAATTTCTTACTTATCTTGACCTCTTAGGTATTGGTATATCTACATTGTTCTGTGAAAAATTCTCAGGTGTTTTCAGGGATACCTACCACTGACAAAGTTCAAAATGCTACAATTTTCTTACTATTCTGAAACTGCCTAGCTGTTCAACTATCCACGCATGTCACAATTTCAAATGGTACATGGACAGCATATGCAGGCTCAGTACTTTTTTCTTTTCTCTATTTTCAGGTCTTGACTTCTAGCTTCATATTCTCTTAGCAGTCATTGGAGCCTATTGTCTCGGTAGTTGTCTGGTTTTACACAAATTATTAAAATTATTGTTCATATGTATCTAATTCTCCCTGGCTTGAATAAACTAGTCTTGAATTTATTTGAGTAGAACTCAATGGTGGTTTCTTGAACTTTGTATATGAGTTCCTTAATATCAGAATCTAAGAACTTGTGTATTTCCCCTCCAGGTTGTCTGCGTGACAAAATCATGGAAACTCTACTAATCTGTCTTTTCTATCGACTTGAAAATGCTAAAACCAATAGTGACTGCTTTATAGGTTATTGAGGGAATAAAAGTACAATATAAACTTTGATCCTTTTGCTTACATACTGAATACAGTAATTGTATGGTCCCATGTCACAGGATTTGTGGCTGATGACTTATAATAATGAAAAGTCCATAGATACTGAATGTATCAGCCAAACTTCCAGAGTATTTACTTGACTATTTATATTTTAAAAAGTATTTACAATGCCATGTATTTACTTGACTATTATGGAAATTCATAGATTAAAAAATAAATAGAACATAGGACATATTTTGTAAATCCTCTGAGCCCTGGATGTTAATTAACAAAATGAAACTGAGCCTTTCCCCATAAAAGACTTGTGACATTGCCATTAAATTGTGTCACTTATTTAAGCATTTCTTAAAGCTCATATAAATAAAGCCTGATTTACATATAAAACAATAGCATTACACTAACTTTGGAGTAAGTGCTTTATCTCTTCATGAGTTTTTGAGCAGCCCATGTGAACTGATAATTCTACTATGAAGAGCCTGTCTCTAATGCTCATCATTTCACTGTTGCAGATGTTTCTCATTTGGAATTGGAGAAGGAGCCTCCACCAGTTTAATCAAAGGCATTGCCCGGGTATCAGGGGGCACTGCAGAGTTTATTACAGGCAAGGACAGGATCCAGACCAAGGTGAGAGCTGGCCAAGGGACCACAGGTGCAAGTCCAGAGTAACTTTGAGGCACAACAGGAACCCTACTGCAAAGGATACAATTTCACAAGTCTCAGGCCATACACGTAGTGAATCTGCTTCATACCTTGTTAAAAATGGTTCCATTCTAATATCTAAAGACTGGCATCTGATTGTGGTAGCTAGGAATTCAGAGAGAAGATAAATAAAGTGGGTGGAACTTTGGAAGACCAGAGAGAAAGAAGGTAAAAGCTTTGGCTGTTCTATTTGAAATTGTAGTCTCTACTTTTAGTAATTGAATAGAAACACATTCTCCATGCAAAAGACACAAAAGAAAAGATATGAGTGTGTGTGCGTGTGTATGCGTGTGTGTGTGTGTGTGAGAGAGAGAGAGAGAGAGGAGAGAGATAATGGTATGATAAGTTCATATTCCTTCATTAGTTATGGATATTCAAGATATCTCTGATGACATTTCTAAGCTTCTCCTCCATGTTGTTCCTATCCTTTCTCTAACTCACGTTTGCAAAGTCTCCTTGTTAAATATTTCTCTCACATACCTATACTTCCTATACTTTTACATCTCTCAAGTGTAACTTTACATCCATGTAATTTCAGAAAGAATAGCATTTCTCTCTTTGCATTGGTGACTAGATATGACTGGCTCTTCTCTTCTCCAACAGGCTCTTGGGTCTCTGAAGTTTGCCCTAAACTGTTCGGTGGATGACTTCTCTCTGAGTTGGGATTTGCCTCCTGGTCTGTCAGCTAGCATGCTTTCTCCAGAGCAGACTGTCATCTTTAGGGGTCAGAGATTAATCATCTATGCCCAACTCATTGGGACTATGCCTGTAACTACTATTGTTCATTCCTTTACTTGGTGAGACACTGTATCAGCAGTTGGAATTTCAGCAAGATATGTCACTTGTCAGGCAGCCAGCCTCCTGTCCTCTCCTTCATAACAGGCTAGCTGATTCACTGGGCTGAGGAGTTTCCCTAGTGCTCACCATTTTCCTGGTTGTGAGTCTGCTTTGTCACTCTTGCTCTCCTCTTATTTGTAGCAAGTGGAGACCTCTGGAGAAGTGTGCCTCAAGTATGCACTCCAAGGCAAGAGTCTTGAAAACAGGGTGACATTTTCCCTACAGCCCAAGACAAACACCAGGTTTGCTTTTCCATCTCCACACTTCTCCACCTCTCTCTTCTCTTGTCTTCCTCTCCTTTGACTCACTGACTTGGTAAGGCTTGCTGTTGTTGTTAAGTGACACATTGACCATAGCAACTTTTAAAAAGGAAAACATTTAATTAGGTCAGGCTTACTGTAGAGATGTTTGACCATGATTGTCATGTCAGGAAGCAATAGTGGCATGCAGGCAGACATGATGTTGGAGAAGAAATTGAAAGTTCTGCATCTTGATCTCAAGGCAGCAGAAAAAAGAATTCCCCACTGAATCAAGATGTTGCATGGGCTACTTTTATGGTCTGGAGCATCTGAGACTTCAAAGCCCACCTCCACAGTGGCACACTTCCTACAACAAAGCCATGCATACAAGAATATGGCCACACCTGCTAATAGTGCCAGCCTTTGAAAGACATTCTTATTCAAATCACCCTTTCTTTTTCTTGAGGGTTCAATCATTCCAGTCACTGACCTCTGCTGTTTCCTCGAAGCTCTCCTTTTTCTGATTCATTCATTTAAACTCTTTACCTCTGTGTTCCCTTTCAGCTGCAGTCTCTAGTTTTTGGAGTGTTTGGTACTTGATCTGCAGGTACTTTAATTTTGTGCAGTGTCTTCTTTCAGCTTCACCATTCATCGTTTGGCTGCAAAGTCCTTGATTCAAATGAAGGACTTGGGCTCTCATGAGGCCTCAAAAGCAGAAAAAGATGATGTGTTGAACATCAGCATTCAGTCTGGAGTCCTCAGCTCCTTCACAGCTTCATTGCAGTAAACAAGGAGCTCAACCAGCCAGTGCAGGGGCCTTTGGCTCACAGAGTGATTCCAAGGCCAGTAATTTTTCCAAATTTGCCTAAGATATGTACTCCTGGGTTTGGTAAGTTTTATTGCAATTTAAACTTTTTTATAATGATTCTTAGATATCTAAGTGCATAATATAAGCAATGATAAGTTTCATAATGTCATGAATTTAAATTTAACTATATTTCTTAAATTTTCCATGTTTTCTTCATCCATCCACAACTAGGATTTATGGCTTGCCTTAAATTTTCTAGAGAAGTAGATTGTGTCCAACTGAGACAGAGATATATTATAGAAGTACAGAAGTACATCAGGACACATTACAGTACAGAAATATCTATGAACATTGAGTAATCAAATCTTTTAATTTAAATATAATTTCTCTTCTTGATAGTCAATGGTCACATAGATAGCAGATGACTAAATTGATCTGATAATTGTTAGTGGTAGAAGAGTGGATTTCAGAAAGAGGTGGAGATATGAAAGAGCTACAGGGTTTATTAAGAAATGAAAAAAAGTTAGCATCATTTTTTTTCTGGAATGGAAGAGAGTCCAGTTGTATTTGGTGCCTTTTTCAGTAAGCATAAGCACTATTTAGAGGGCTGGATTTTCTGAATAATTTACAGCAATTATCATCAACTTAAAAGTGGAATAGGTAAGTCCTGACTTGATTCTCATGTAGGATTTTGAAACGGTTTTGATGATTAAAAGTTATGGCTGTAATTAAAGATATTGATGAGGGATGTAATTTTCTTGATTGAGGTTTAGTTTGACTAATAAATAAAGATGAAGGAAGGTAATATATTTGAGAAATAGAAGAATCAGGGACTTATAAAGTACAGTTCATGTCAATGACTGGTATTAAAACAGGAAACCCTAAGTTAAAACACTAGAAATATGGGTATTGTATTTTAAAAATAACATTAAAATATTTCTTATAAACAACTCTGAATGATACCAATGACTTAAGGGTATGAGAGAGGGGTGTTAAAGCCATAGTCACTGGATCTGAAGAAGGCATGATGTTTGCATTCAGACATTGCATGGTCTACTTACATGGATAATAAAAATTCTCAAACTTGTGGAAGAGCTTGGAGTACACTAGAAGCCTGTGGTTTGGCTTTTCTGTACTTTAGGGACTGGTAGGAGGTGACTTAAGTAGTTGATTAATAGGGCGTGGACATATGGAAGCTTAGAAAATTGCCAACATCACCTTCTGAACATGGATGCTTAAGGTATAGTTAAGCTTCTTTTGAAAGGAACAAAAATTAAATAGCTTTGTGAGACAGAAAAAGATCTTTTTACATTAAGATGCATTTGGAAGAATCTTTTGTGCTGCAGAAGAACTACAGATGTGCTTGCTCAGCTCAGATCAAGGGTTCCAAAAGACACAATCAGAAGTAGAAAAGGGTTTAGAAGGTGAGTGTCTGTATTGGATGAGGCCATACTGGAGAATAGCACATTGTGGTTAGTGAGTGAGGCTAATATGAATGGGAGACTTGATATCTCTACTCCTTACTTTTAAAAGAAATCTTCAATTGGTGCAGAACACAGATGATATTGCAGTCTGCATTGTGCATTTGTGTGTTTCAGGTCACAGGCCACTTCAATCAAGCATGAGACTATGTGGATTATTTTCTGAAGATGATGTGTCACCACTTTGTAAGCATTTCTAGATGTCTATGGGAGTTTCTTTCTAAACAATTTTTTTTTCTGTCACAGATGATAAACCTCTTCAAGCCCGCTATTCATATGACTGTGTGAAAGATACAAACTACATGGGCGTGATGAAAAACTCAGAATCCTCCACCAAGAAAAGCAACTTGAAAAATGAACACAAAGGTGAATTGGACCTCAAATTGTGTCTCTGACTTATAGTAGCCATAAACTAACATTCCATGCTCTTAGACCTTTCTCTACCGATGGGGTGACTTACTTGAGGCAGCAGGAAGGAGGTGAGATTTGATATTGCCGCGTATCTGCCAGAATGAGTCTTGCTTCCCTAATCTACAATACAGAACTTAATACCTTCTAATCTACTGTAATTGAGTGGCTTCTAGTTCTTTGAGTCCTCTTGGCAATCTCTGCCTACACAGTCCACCTGTCATCAGTGCTTGACCCCAGCAGACTCTGCTGTAGTTGTGTTCAGAACCCATAGCAAAAGGTCACCCATCACAGATTAGAAATAGTGGACATCCTGTAGAACCCTCACTACAGCCTCCTATTTCAGGACACTGCCTCAAGTGGGCTATGATCCATAATTTCCCATTTCATATCTCTTTCAGTTTTATACAAAGTTGTTAGAGAAAATGCTGTTCTGCGCCTGATTTACCTACAGAAAGCAAATGGCTCCTGGGAGCTGGATAAGGATCTGGCTAAGATCCTGGGCACTAGTTTGGAAGACGTGAAGGCTGCAAATCCTACCAAGGTAAGATGCAAAGTGTAACAAAGGAAACAGAGTGTGCTTCATGATGGTAGAAACATAATTAGAATTGAAATAACCAGGGCCAAACTGAGAAATAAGATTACAGATGAGGCAAAAGTGAAATTAATGTTTAGTATATAGCAGATGAAATTATTTCAACTTAAGCTGAGCATAAGGAACATGGAATTAGTAGACTAGCTGCTGCACGGCATGGCCAGACAAATAGATATCAATGGGAAAATAAGTGCTCTTTTGTGTTAATCATATTCCATTAGATGTATTTGTAAAACAAACATTTTTATCTACATACTATACCAGTTAGTTTTTAAAGCATTTAGTATTAATATACTTAGTTTTCCTAAATTCAGTTAATTAAGGAAGGTTCTATTTATGTGGCTATGCATAGATGAAGACATCAAACATTAAACACATGAATACCCTTCACTACTCAGTGCAGAACTAGATTGAATGCTAGGATGCCCTGTCTGCAGAGACTCCAGTAATAGACCCAGTATTGATTTTTTAATGTTGTCAAATATCCCAAAAAAGAATTTGAAGTTTACATCCAAATATTTGAAGAAAAAAATTTCTTCAATAAAACATCTGATAAATTATGAAGAAGAAATATAGTTCTGAGTTATTAAAATGTGAGCCACAATTAAATATATGTCACATATTCTATAGTTATACCACTTATATTATATATTCTAGTAATGCCTGACTATTAAGCCTATGAAATGTGGTGAATGCAAGTGAAATGTAATTTATTTTTAGTTAACAGAGGTATCTATGCTGTATAATACAAACTGACTTAATTATTTAAGGTAAAACTATGGAAATATTTCATCAAAATTGTTTCACATTGGCTGCTTGAGAAAATAATAATTCCTTTTAACATTTTTTAAAGTATTGTTTGCTACTAGCTGAAGACATTGTTCACTAGTAGAAAACACCTCTAGAATATAAGAGGTCATGAACTGAATCTAGTAAAAAAGTATACTAAGGTTGAATAAATATCACATGTTGATATCTGAATTTCAATTGGAAATTTGAAAATTTAAAATGATAGATCCTCTGACTGGATATAGATTACTTATAAATAATACTACTGAATAAGAAATTGATGTCAAAATGGAAATACAAATTTGAAGTCACTAAACTCTGAATGTTTACTTGTTGATGTTAATGAAGATACAAATTAAAGTTTATCACTTGGTGGATGATAAAACAGAGTGATAAACAGCAGAATCAAGATACCCTAAATTCTCTGATCATGAGTTTTAAGTTTTTGTGAAAAAACAATGGCACTGAAAAAAATTTATATGACATGAATAAAAGTCAAGAATTGCTTTTGTTTCTTAATCTATGGCTGTATGAATAGAAGACAAGCAGACTGATACAAAAACAATTGCACACTGAACCAAGAGGAGTTGTGGCCAAAGGCAATGTGAAGCAAAAGATCTGAACCAAGATACCCCAGGAAGGGCTTCATTCTTGGGCTATAATTATAGATTTTTGTAAGTCATCGATCCTTAGCTGAGATCACCCAAGAGCTACATTTTAAAAATCAGAATGGGGTTTGCATTAGTTCTGAGCAACATGCTTTTGGAGTCTTACTACCTCAACTTAAGCATCCCTCAGAGTAATAAGAGTGTGTATAATAACAAACCTACAGTCAAATCCATCATTACTAAAGAATTAATTTAGAAAAAAACTATCATTTACCTTTTGTATTACTCGCATCTGAAATCAACAAAATAGAAACCAGGAAAACAATACAAAAAAAAAAAAAAAAAAAAAAAAATGAATGCAACAAAGAGTTGGTTTTTTGAGAAAATCAACAGGAAAGAAAAACCTTTATCCAAACTAACAAAAAATCAGAGAGAGAACATGCAAATTAACAAAATCACAAACAAAAAGGGGAACACAACAACAGGCAGAAGAAATCCAGACAATTTTCAGGTAATACTTTGAAAACCTGTATTCCACAAAAATTGAAAATTCAAAGGAAATGGAAAAATTTCTGGATAACTGTCACTTACTAAAATTAAATCAAGAACAGACAAACAACTTAAATAGACCTATAACCCACAATGAAATAGAAGCAGTCATCGAGTGCCTTCTAACCAAAAAAAGTCCAGGACCAGATGGATTCAGTGCAGAATTCTACCAGACATTCAAGGAAGAACTAATACCACTACTCCTCAAACTGTTACACAAAATAGAAACAGAAGGTTCATTGCCAAACTCCTTTTATGAGGCCATAATAACCTTGGTACACAAGCTTCACAAAGACACAACTAAGAAAGAAAACTACAAACCAATATCCCTGATGAACATTGATGCAAAAATACTCAATAAAATACTGGTAAACGAATTCAAGAATACATCAGAGAAATCATCTACCATGACCAAGTAGGCTTCATCCCTGGAATGCAGGGATGGTATAACATACGAAATCTATCAACCATATAAACAAACTGAAAAAGAAAAATCATATGATTATCTCCCTAGATGCCTTTGACAAAACTCAACACCCTTTCATGATAAAGGTCTTGGAGAGATCAGGGACAACAGGAAAATACCTAAAATATTAAGAGCAATATACAGCAAACCAACAGCCAATATCAAACTGGAGAGAAATTTAAGCCAATTATTCAAAAATCAGGAACAAGACAAGGCTGCCCTCTCTCTCCATATCTTTTCAATATCATACTTGAAGTTCTAGCAAAAGCTATAAGACAAGAAAAAGGAGATCAAGGGGATCTAAATTGGAAAGGAAGAATTCAACTGTCTTTATTTGCAGATGATATGACAGTTTACATAAGCGACCCAGTAAGCTCTACCAGGGAACTCCTACAGCTGATAAAAACCTTCAGCAAACTAGGAAGATACAAAATAAACTCAAAAAAAATCAGTAGCCCTACTTTTTTTCAGACGGCAGAGAGACAGAGGAAGAAATCAGAGAAACATCATTCTTTACAATAACCATAACCAACATAAAGTATCTTGGGATAATGCTTACCAAACAAGTAAAAGACCAATATATTAAGAACTTTGTCGCTCTAAAGAAAGTAATTAAAGAAGATACAAGAAAATGGAAAGATCTCCCATGCTCTTGGATAGGTAGGATAAACATAGTAAAAATGGCAATCTTGCCAAAAGCAATCTACAGATTCATTGCAATCCCCATTAAAATCCCACCACAATTCTTCACTGACCTTTAAAGGATAATAATCAACTTTATATGGAAAAACAAAAGACCCAGGATAGCCAAAACAACCCTATACAATAAAAGAACTTCAGGAGGCATCACCATTCCTGACTTTAAGCTCTACTACAGACTATAGTTCTGAAAAAAGCCTGGTATTGGCACAGAAATAGACAGGTAGACCAATGGAATTGAATACTAACTCACACATGTGTGCACACTTGATTTTCGACAAAACAGTTAAAATTATACACTGGGGCAAAGACAGCATCTACAACAAACGGTGCTGGCAAAATTGGATGAGGGTGTGTAGAAGACTGAAGATAGACCCATGTTTGTCACCATGCACAAAACTCAAGTTCAAAAGGATCAAAGACCTCAACATCAATCCAGCCACATTGACCCTCTTAGAAGAGAAAGTAGGAGGTATCTTTGACCAAATTGGTATAGGAGACCACTTCCTGAACATAACTCCAGAGGCACAGACACTGAGAGCAACAGTTAGTAAATGGAACCTCCTCAAACTTAGAAGCTTCTGTAAGGCAAAGGACAAGACCAAACGGCCACCCACACACAGACTGAGAAAGATTTTGATCAATCCTATATCCGACAAAGGGCTGATCTCCAAAATATACAAAGAACTCAAGAAACTAGTCAACAAATCACCAAATAACCCTATTTAAAAAAATGGGGTACAGAACTGAAGAAAGAATTCTCAATAGAGGAAATCAAAAAGGCTGAAAGACACTTAAGAAAATGCTCCACATCCTTAGCTATCAGGGAAATGCAAATCAAAACAACTTTTAGATACCATCTTACTCCTGCCAGGATGGCTAAAATTAGAAACACCAATGACAACTCATGCTTGAGAGGATGTGGAGAAAGGGGAACACTCCTGCACTACTGGTGGGAATGCAAACTCGTACAGCCATTTTGGAGATCAGTATGGCAGTTCCTCAGGAAAATGGGAATTAGTTTACCACAGGACCCGGCAATCCCCCTCTTAGGCATATACCCAAAGGATTCACATCCATGCACCAAAGACATCTATCTGCTCCACTATGTTCATAGCAGCACTATTTGTAATAGCAAGAACCTGGAAGCAACCTAGATGCCCCTTAATTGAAGGTTAATGAAGATGTGGCACATCTACACAATATAATACTAGTCTGCAGAAAAAAATAATGGTATCTTGAAATGTGCAGGCAAGTGGATGGCACTTGAAGAAGCCATCCTGAATGAGGTAACCCAGTCACAAAAATAGGAACATAATATGTGATCACTCACATATGGATTTTAGGCCTAGAACAATGGATCCCTTGCTATAATTCACACCACCAAAGGAACTAGGATACAAGGTGTATTCTAAGAGATTCATATAAAGTCCCTCACAGAAGCAGGAAGGGACAAGTCCCCCAGAGCACAGGGGAATTGGGGTGGGTAGTGAATCGAGAGAAAAGTAGGAGAAAGCAAGGGGGGGGGGACAGGAAAACACGTGCGACTAAAAAGATCGAGTCCGGGTAGGAATAGAAGATGAGAGAGAGAGAGAGAGAGAGAGAGAGAGAGAGAGAGAGAGAACATAAAAGAGGGAGCCAATATTGGTTTGACGAGAAAATTGAAACAAAAGAAAGGTCTAGAGAACTACAAGACTGCTGCCAACTAATAATTTGAGCAACCTTGGAAAGGCTACCATAAATGCCCTTCCCGGATAGTGAGATAACTTATCCATGGAGCCCTCATCTAATTCCTGTTGGAAACAGGAGCAAACACCCATACATAAACACTGAGTCAAACTAGAACCCAGATGCAGATGGAGGGGACAAGATCATGCTGCAGAAACACATAGAGACAGCTGACCTGAACAAGGAGGATCTAATGGGCCCCCAGATTGAAAGCTGGGAGTCCAGCATGGTACTGACTCAGGCCCCCCTGAATATGGGTATCAGCCATAAGGACTGAGCAGTCTAAGGGACCTCAGACAGTGGAGCCAGGATGTTTCCCTGGTGCATAATAGGACCTTGTGGACACATCCTCCATGGAGGGATAACTGTCTTAACCTAGAGACAGGAGAGAAGCCCTAGTCCCTACTTCACATGACTTGTCAGATCTACATGACCCCAACTGGATGGCATTGCCCTACATATGGAATTGGGGTGGGAGATGGAAGGGGAGGATGGTTAGGGTGCCTGTATGATGGCAGAGTGTGTAAAAGTGAGGGAGGGAGGGAGGGAAGGTGGGAAGGAGAAAGGGAGAGAAGGTGGGAAGGGGGAAGGGAGGGAGAGAGGGAGAGGGAACTGGGATCAACATGTAAAGTAATAAATTAAAGAAAGAAAAAAGAAAAAAGAGCTAGTTAAAAATGTATTTGAAAATTCTATTGTTAAACAAATCTTACAAAAATCACATGAAGTAATTAACCCTTTTCCTGTAAATTTTATGTAGGCAGAAAAGGCGGCAAAAAAGAAAAAACAACATTAAATCCACTCATCTTTGAAGCCAAATCTATTCCCTGAATTGCTAGTATTCTTGTAAATAAATTATGTTTGTAGTTTCAAGAAAAAAAAGAAATGTGCTATTGATTCTTTGTTATGGCAATTTGTTGTTATGTTGTTTAGTTTTTTGTGGGGGAATTTTTGGGGCATGTGAAGATACAACTAAAAATTAATGATCACAGTAACTTAAAAGAAGTCAAATATACAATTGTTTCTCTTTGTATATTCTTATAATTCTTGTACTGGGTATTTGGGGTATCTTGCAAAATGTGATGCTGTTTACACTGGATTTACATCATAAATCCTTTTCTGCTGATTGGTAATGGAATGTTGTCTTGAGGTTCTCCCAGACTGTATTTTAAGGGTAGACCAGGGAATTCTAGATAACATAAGTTAGGGAATGACAAGGAAGGAGATAGTAAACCTCTCTGCTTCATCTTGAGTGGCTTCCTGCCCTGTCTGGTGCACCATAGAAGTTTCTATCTGTTTTGCAGGATGAGGACCCCTCAGCCTGGACCACAGTGCTGGCTGTGCTCTGGCTGAATGCCAATGGGACAGACTCAAAGTGTGAGTGGGAGATTCTGGAAAAGAATGCAGTGGCCTGGCTTCATGACCACGCAGGTAGGAGTACAGCCTTCTCCCTCCTCCATTTCCAGGTGCGTTTCAGAGCTGTGCCTGAAAGTGTACCAAAGGGTGAGTACTAGAAAGTCCACTTAGTTGCTCCTACCATGGTATCTCAGATCATCATCTGTTCACTCAGCTAATCTTTCCTCTTCAGGATTAAGATGAAATATGTGCTTGGTGGTTGGGAAAGGCTGCTCAGAGGGAAGAAACATCAATGTGGATGCTTAGCTGCATAAGACTAAGCCTAGACATGTAGCCAGTACTCATAGATATTTATTGTATCCTTATTGCTGTCTTCCCTTGGACAGACTAGACTAAAGGAGAATCAGAACAAGAAAGGGGGCAAAGCCAGTGTAGTAGCTCTGGAAGCTAAATCAGGAAGCTAAATCAATTATGAGGAAGGCTCATGAAAAAGCCTCCCTTTCTTCCCCATAGTACAGTCTGACTTGTTTTCCTGCTTCACAGATTCCTCCATCCCCATGCTAGTGAATGCTGCCAATCATTTCCTGAAATTGCCTGTGACTCTTGATGCCTTTGTCTTCTGAGAATGCAACCCAAGAACATTTGCTGGTTATGACTAAGTCCCTCCCTTGTTTCTTGGCTGAGACAGCATTTGGATTTTATTTTTACCTTTTTCATTCTTCTCGTAACAATAAAGGGTATCTGCACAGTCTTGCTTATTTACTCCTGATCCCACTGGATTTGATCTACTGTCCCCATCATTTCCTCAGTGACAAGATATTATGGTCTCCCATCATGTCATAGGCAAAATGACACTTGAAGTTTTACAGAGAAATTGCAATGACGTAAGTGGCATGGAATCTTGAGAAAGCACTGTAACATGAATCCTAGGCCTTGCCTGTTTTAATATTCTGCATTACTGTTATCCACTGTCTTTGTTCTTACAGGGTCATCAGAACCAGGGTTATATGCTTTGTATTTGAAGGAACAGAAATTAGAATGAAAACTGAAAAGCAACATAATGATAAACACAAGCTCAAAAAATACAGACAAAAATCTATGCATTTCACCATTAGAGAATGACTATGGATATCTTGAATAAATTATGCCAATATTTTTACTCCATGCCAAAAATGTGTACATGTCAAAATGACTATATATCTCTATGTCCATTTCCTAAGTAACTTATTTAGAAAATACTAGGATATCATTGTTTCTACTTAGTCTCTAAACAACTAATGAGATGGTTGCATGTCCTCAGACAGTCTGTGCTATGATGTTCCTAGCAGGATTCAACAGAAGTGTTAGAGAAGAGCAGCTAGAATTAAAATGATTATGTCCATCAGTGTTCTTTCTTTTTCTTTTCTGCCACTGTGAGAAGACATTTGAGGAAAGTTAACTCCAGGAAGAAAAAACATTTGGATGGGGAAATGACCCAGTATGTAAACTGCATATTTACAAGCTGAGAACCTGAGATTGGAACCCCAGAGTCTATAAAAATGAGATTGATATTAGAGCTGCCTATTATCCCAGCACTGGCTGATACAGAGAAAAGATCTGAGGATCTCAATAGCCAGCCCATCTAGACAATGGGTGTGCTACAATCTCAGTGAGAAACACTGATTCCCAAGTAAACAGAGAGGGATTTAGGAGACACCATTTTTTTTATTTAGCAGTAACCTATGATAGTGCTACTGTAAATTGCAAATGATGAATTTGGTAAGTCTACAACAGGAGAAAGTTAAGAGCAATTAGCAGACATCGGGCAGGCAAGAAAACATCCTCAAATCTGGAACTTACAACATCTTTCAGAAGTGAATAGGCAAGCACAGTTGAGGCAGCCAGCTAGAGTTCCTCCTATATACTCCTGGGCAGAGCACAGTATCCACTTGGGTGAGGCTGCTAAGAAAAAACCCCAAATAAAGGTAAAGGATAGACAGAAATACATCAGCAATGTGGTTATCTACAATGTCTGAGTGAAATGACTAGAGAGGACTTGCTGAAAGTCATACTGGAGTTCCTGATCCAGAGGTTCCCAGGAAACTGTCTTTGAAAGGGCTTCCAGTCTCTTCTTCCCACTGTAGGCATTTTATATCATGGGATAAAGAATAGTAACCCTGTTAGAAAATGATTTCTAGTATACCTATACTCAGATGCCCTTTGTTTTTAGTATACTTAGCTGTTTGCTGTTCTTCTCCTATCTTCTGCCTTAACTCAGCCAAAGGAATCTTGGAGAACAGGAGATAAACAGTGCTAATTTGTGATATTGGCAGTCCATCTTGTTCTTTGAGTCTCAGAAGAAAAATTTCCTAACCAAAAGAAGGACATGCCTACAAAGCTACAGTAAGATTTAAGAAAACCAAATAGATAAGATCAGAAAAGAAATAATAATCAAAACACTAAATAGACAGAACAAAAACATAACATTAAAAGCTGAAAGGGAACAAACCAAGTAATATATAAAGGCAGGCTATTAAAATTCCCCCAAATTGTCTATGATACTCTAAAGCCACAAGGGCCTGGATTGATGTCTTGCAGACACTAAGAGATGAGGTGCTAGCTGAGATTACTATGCCTAATATTAATTTCAATTGCCATAGATAGAAAACAAAATATACCATGATAAAGTCAAATTTAAACAATATCTGTCCACAAATCCATTCCTACAGAAGGTTCTATGAGGAAACTTTCAACCCAAGGATGGTAACTACACCTATGAAAACACAGGCAATAATTAACTCACACAAGAAAAACCCTAAAAATGGAAACACACACACACACACACACAACCACCACTACCAACATAATAGCAGGGGTTAACAATCATTGATGATTTATATCTGTCAATATTAATGGACTCAATTCCCAATAAAAATACACAGACTAACAAAACACATGCATAAACAGGTTCCATCCTTTTGTAACATACAAGAAACACACTTCAACTTCAAAAATTAGCATTACTTCAGAGTAAAAGGTTGGAAAATTGTTTTCCAAGCAAGTGGACCTAAGAAAAGAAGCTAATGTATCCATCTTAATATCTAACAAAATATACTTCTTACTAAAGTTAATGAAAAGAGATAGAAAACACTATATATATGATCAAAGGAAATTCAAACAGGATGAGTTTTCAATCCTTAACATCTATACCTTAAACAAAAGGGCAGCCACACTTAGGAAACACTCCTAAGTTTAAGTCATATATCCACCCTCACACTTTGATAGTGGGAGACATCAATAACCCCCCTGCAGCAATAACAAATCATCCAAACAAAACTAGAGATGTACTGGAGATAAGAGACATTATGAACCATACAGACCTAACAGATATCAGCAGAACATGTCATCCAAACAAAAAAGAATTCAATTTCTTCTCAGCACTTCTCAGAACAGTCTCCAAAATTGGCCCCATACTCAACCACAAAGAAAGTTTAAACACATATACGAAAATTAGAATGAAGGCCTACATCCTAGCGGTGCACCATGAATTGAAGGTAGACTGAACAATAGAAATAACAGAGCCTACAAACTCATGGGACATGAACAGTTCCCTACTGAATAACCACTGGACCAAGACAGAAATAAAAAAATTAGACTTTCTAGAATTCAAACATATATAGAAGAACATATATACAGGACATATCCACACTTACATGACACGCTGAAAATAGTGAATCGAAGAAAGTTCTCACTACTAAGTGCTTCATAAAGATTGTGGAGCAAGGCCTTTTTTATTTATTTATTTTTTTAGCTTGGACTAGAAACAATCTGATTTTACATATGAATACCAGTTTCCTCTCCCTCCCAACCTCCCAAACTCCTACTGACATCCCCTTTCTGTCCCCCAGGAGGTTGAGGCCTTCCCTGGGTGATGGTCAAAGACTGTTATATCATTTGGGCAGGGCCTGAGTCCTTGCCTGTGTGTCTAGGCTGAGAGATTATCTCCCTATGGGGAATGGGCTCCCAAAGTCTATTTGTACACTAGGGATAAATACTGATCCACTACCAGAGGCCCCATAGATTGTCCAGACCTCCTAACTGACACACACATTCACTGGGTCTAGGTCAGTCCTATGCTGATTTCCCAGCTGTCAGCCTGGAGTCCATGTACTCCCCCTTGTTCATTTCAGCTGTTTCTGTGGATTTCCCCAGCCTGGTCCTGATCCCTTTGCTCATCACTCCTCTCTCTCTTTTCAATTGGATTCCAGGAATTCTGCTCATTGTTCAGAAGCACATTTGTAAGTGAAGGGATACAAGCAGAGCCAATACCAAGGCAACATAAGGTCACAAGGTCATAGGAGCAAAATGCAACCAGATATGGATGGCATAGTGCCCAATGACAACTTTAAGACCCCGATCTATTGCTAGTAGACTGGCAAGTGAAGAATAGGCATGCTTTACTTTTCTTAGTACACTTGGTTGGACATCTGTTGTTTTGACCTTGTACACAACTGTAAGGTTTTAAATTTACAATTTATTTATAAAAGGCTTTTAGTTTGCACTTGTTCTGAAGTGAAAGTGAGCTAATTGTGTGCGATTATTTTGAGTAAGAGAACAATGCAGGCTATTAAGTGTCCACAGTCCTTGTGGAAATAGATACATCTGGTTATGAGGCATGCCATAGTATATATTTGATATATCAAAATTATATGGCCAAAGAAAAGTCATATTCTAGATAATCCATAGATATTGGGCTAGCAGATAGAATATTGTCATGAGATAAACACACAAGCACTGGGAAAACACCCAAAGATATTCTAAGGAAGACATGAAGTTCTTAGGGAAAAATGAAGTAACTCATGAGAGAAATTACAGACAGGAGCAACTTGTTTCCATAGCCAGTGATCCTATGGTCTTTCCAAGTGGGTCTATCCCATTAGTAATCATGCATCAGGTGGGAACCTGTAAAACACTAGACCCTGACATCTGCCCTGGTATAGTTTAAGAAGTATGTAAATTTCTCTAGGACAGAGAGTAATGGGGGTAATGAAATTTCTTCAGATGATTGGAAGAATGATAAAGAGTTTGAAGTAAAGAGTCAATAATTAATGTTGATATTTCATCAGTATTTATATCAATAATCTATATAATCAACAATTATATATATATATATATATATATATACTAATTAGTAATACATAAGGCAAATTGGTGAAGACCTTTCACAGTCTGTGGGCTGCCCTTTGGTCTTGTCAACTGTCCTTTGCCTTACAGAAGCTTCTAAGTTTTAGGAGGTCCCATTTATTAATTGCCGATCTCTGTCTGTGCTACTGGTGTTATGTTCAGGAAGCGGTCTCCTGTACCAATTTGTTCAAGGGTACCTCCAACTTTCTCTTCTCAGAGGTTCAGTGTGTCTGGATTTATGTTGAGGTCTTTGATCCATTTGGACGTGAGTTTTGTGCATGGCAAAAGATATGTGTCTATCTTCATTCTTATACACACCATCATCAAGTTGTGCCAGCGCCATTTGTTGAAGATCCTTTCCTCCTTCCATTGTTTACTTTTACCTGTTTGGCCAAGAATTAGGTATTCTTAGGTGTGTGGGTTAATATCAGGATTTTCTACTCAATTCAATTAGTCTATATGTCTATTTTTCTGC